ATCTCTGTCTCTTTCTCTCCTCCAGAACTTTGTCCTTGTATTTTCCTCTGTCTGGAACACACTTTCTTTTCCTCTTCTGGAATAACTTCTGTTCTTTCCCATCGGGGGCTGTCTTCCCTGAGGCTGGAGACCCCAGGTAGACACCTCTTCTCTGCAATCCTAGTATTGTGCCTCTCTATTAAACCTGTTACCACACTGCATTGCTGGTGCTGTTTTGCTGTTTGCCTGTTTCCATCTGCCTCTGGATTGTAAAGTTAGTGACGCCAAAGCAAGATTTACCCTTTCTCACAACTTTATTTGTAGTGGCTAGCACAGTGCTGGGCACAAAGTAATTGATCACTCAGTAATTAGTTCTGATTAAATGAATAAATACATGAATGTAGACATTTTTATCCCCCTGACTGTCTTTTCTCTTTTCCTGGTGTGCCAAGACAGAGAGCCTGAACTGGGGTGGGAAGAATAGGCTGTGGGCTCCCCACCTTCTTAGGATGACCTGAAACCACTGAAGGGCTTCCCTGGACTCCTGAGAAACAAGAGAACCGTGGTCAGAGAAAGGACCTCGTCTACCTGCTTTCGTGGCTCTGGCCCCATTATCCTGGCTTCCCTCCTGGTGTCACTGATGCACTCTTAGCGGTGGCTGGCAAAGGCCAACCTACCTCCTGTTCACCAAATCCCAGCCCCTCTCCTCTACTCAAGGACATCACCAGCAGCTCTTCCTTTTCTGCCCTGCATCATCAGAATTCCCTTCCTTGTTATATGTTACCTGTCCACATCCAGCATATTTTTAGCCTATCCATAAGCGTATTTCCTCTGTATTACATTACAAAACCAAAAACGTCTTGTCCTTCTTTCCTCTCTTGTTCCTGCTCCTACCTCTCTCTCCTACTGATGACCATACCCACTCTTCCCATTTCTCTTCTCGCATTCTCTCTGGAACCTCCTGTCATCAGCTTTTGTCCCTGACTCTATTGACAAGCTTCCCAGCTCACTAATGTCCTCTGTCTGGTGAGTTCCCCGCTCAGTTCTCAATTCAGTCCTCATCTTACCCGACCTGTAAGCAACATCCTCCTGTTCCCCTCCTCCCCTGGAAACACGTTCTTTCCTGGCTTCCAGAACACCACTCTGGGTTTTCTTCCTGCTGCACTGGCTGCTCCTGGACTCATTTCTTTTCATGCTCTTGACTCAGAACCCTGGAGGACTCAGGCTTCAGCCTGGGGACCCTTCTCTTCTCTCTCCATGCTCACTCCCTAGTGACCTCACCTGGTCTCAATGGCTTTTTTTTTTTTTTTTTTGAGACAGAGTCTCGCTCTGTCACCTGGGCTCAAGTGCCCAGTGCCATGGCATCAGCCTAGCTCACAGCAACCTCCAACTCCTGGGCTCAAGTGATTCTGCTGGCTCAGCCTCCCAAGTAGCTGGGACTACAGGCACACGCCACCATGCCCAGCTAATTTTTTCTGTTTTTAGCAGAGACAGGGCTGGTCTCAAATTTCTGACCTCAAGGGATCCTCCCACCTCAGCCTCCCATAGTGCTAGGATTACAGGCCTGAGCCACCGCACCTGGCCAGTCTCACGGCTTTGAACACCTTCTATGTGGACAACTTTCACATTTATCTTTCTGGCTTGGGCCTCCCTCCTGAACTCCAGATTCAGCTACCTACTAGACATCTCTATTTGGATGTCTATGAGGCATCTCCCATTTTCAGTCAAAGACTGAGCTCCTGGTCTTCCCCATCCCAGTTTAATGGTGATTTCAGCCTTCCAATTGTTCAGGCCAGAAAACCAGGTCATCCCTGGCCCCCTCCCCATCTGCCTCAGTCTCTTGTTCTGAAACCCTACCCGGTGTGCTCCACCTCTGCATACCTTCCCCAGGAGCTACGTGGTTTGCTCCCTCCCTCCGTGGTCTTTCTGCAGCAGTTACCTTCTCAGTGAATGTTGTAGGCTCCTGAAGACAAGGTCCTAATCCCGGGAACCTGCGACTGTTACCTTATATGGTAAGAGGGACTTTGCGGGTGTGACTAAGTTAAGGCTCTTGAGATGAGGAGATTATCCTGGAGTATCTCTCTGGCCCTAGATGCAATCACATGTGTCCTTATATAATAGTATTATAGGAAGGCAGGGGGAGATTTGACAGAGATGGCAGAAACGTGACCACTGAAGCAAGAAGTGGCGCTGTTGGCTGCAAAGATGAGGGAAAAGGCCCCCAGCTAAGGAATGCAAGATACAGCTTTAAAAGCTAGGAAAAAGTAAGTAAATGAATTCTCTAGAGCCTCCAAGCCCCAGGAGGGCCTGTGGCCCTACTTACACCTTCATTTCAGTCTAGTAAAACTAACTTTGGCCTCTGACCTCCGGAACTGTAAGAGAATAAATGTGAGCTGTTTTGAGCCACCAAGTTAGTGGTAATTAATTTGTAGGAAACTAACATGATGAGGGCTGCTCTGACCACCTCTAAAATTGCATCCCTTCCTCAACATCCCACCCCCCTTTATTTTCTCTTCAACACCTGTCAACAGCTAATGTACTTTAAATTTTACTAACTAGTCTGTCCCCCATGCCCCACACAGGCAGGTAAACACCCTGATGGCTTGGTTAGGCTGTTCTGGTCCCTGCTATGCCCCAGGGAGGAAAGCACAGCCAGATAAAGGGAAGCTGTAACCTGTGGACAGAGTGTGACTCTCTGCCTCCAGGGCTTCCCCCACCTCTCTGGCCAGGCCCCGCCTTGCCTGTGTCTCTTCAGTGCTGGCTCTTGTCCCTCCACTCAGCTGGCTGGCAGCGCGCCTGCTCTGTGGAGTGGAGAGCGGAGGCTGGAGTGCATGCCATGTCCAAAGGAGGTGGCCGTCATCTCACCTCTGCCACAGTTCACTTTCTCTGGATGAAGTGTGCACCCAGTGATGCCATTTTCCAATTTTCCAAGATTTTTATCTGAAACCTCCCCCTTTTCAAACATTTCCCCTATTAGAAAAATAAACCCGTGCAGAAGAAAGACAGCACCATTTTGCTGCACCTGCTGCGGCAGTGCCACTCCCCAAGAGTTCACCCTTCAGCCCTTTCCTTCTGGGTCTACAGTTTGCCAAGGCCTTTGCTTCCACGGGTTTCAACTGTTCCATACACACTGTGAATCCCCAACTCGCTCTTGAGCTCCAGAACAACACATTCAACCACCTACTGAGGGTATTCATGGGGATATGCCAGAGATATGTCCAACTCAAAGTGCCCAAGACTGCAGTGACCATCTTCCTACCAAAGCTAACCCTCCTATAGTCCCTACCTTGGTAAATGGCCCACTGTTTACCTGATGCCCCAGCCAGAAATCTCAATTCCTCCCTCTGTGTCACTAATCAGATACAAAATCCTGCGGATTCTAACCAAGTCCTCAACAGTTCTCCTATGTGCCCCGTGTACCAGCTGCCTCCTCGGTGCCTGAAGCCATTACCTTTAAGCTGGAGCACCACAATGACCCCTGGTCCTTCCTCTTCACTCCACACTGCCGCCAGAAGGTGCTAACGTAATTCTAATCTTGCCACACTCCCTTTTTATGCAACCATTCCAAAAACTTTGTGTGACACTGGTCCCATGGGACATGGATAGAGTCCCATAGAATAAGGAGTTCTATGATGACACAGGCTTAAAATCAAGAATTTGAACACAGCTAAACTTTTTCCTTCTGCAGAACTTCTTGGAATCCTTCCTGTCCTAATGTATATCCCAACTTTCCAAGAGGGCAATAGAGCAGTTAAGTAGTTTCCCAAACTTAATTGGCCATGGCATTCTTTTATCATGGGGCATTTCAAGGTATTAGTGTTTCATGGTGAGAAATATTGCTTCAATAATTTTCCAATATCTACAGGACACAATTCAAATTCCTTACCATAGGCCTGAGAACAAGGACTGTGAAGCCAGAGTACAAGTTCAAATTATGACTGTGCCATTTGCTTAACTGTGTGACACTGGACAAATTATGCTCCGTGCCTTTATCTATGAGGATAACGATACCGTATGTCACAGTGTTGATGTAAGGATTAGAGTTACTATTATTTAATAGTGCATGCGAAGTGTGCAGAACAGTCCCTGGCACATGGTGTTAGCTATTTTCTTACTCATGATCTTTCACCAGCTATCTTCTCCATCCTCACCTCCTAGGAAGGCAGGTCCAGACTTTACTTTTAGATCCTGGAACTACATCTCTCCATCTGTGGTGTGCCTCTCCTTTCCCCCTTTCCGTTTTTCCAGACCGACTGTGCGCTTGCACAAGCAACTAGTTGTCAGGTGACTATTATGTACCCGGCATTTCTGGAGAGGGAGCCAGGGATGTCAGCATTGAATACCCCATCTGCACCTGCCAGGCAGTGACTCCTTGGGATTTCTCACATCCATTTTTCCCTTCTATCCCTGTCTGTTGCTTTGGAACAGGCCAGTTTCACCTGTTCCTTCATCCTGTTCCCCACTGGACTTTAAACCGCAGCAGAGACTTTCATCTTCGTTATCGCCAGAACCTAGAATAGTACCTGGCACTTACTATACACCTGAAAAATCAGTGTCAGTTGGATACATGAATTTGTGCTGGCCACCGTGCCAAGCTCTACACTGCCTTCCACGATGTGGGGCCAGGCACTGTCCTCTCTGGGCCTCGGTTTCCTTAACGGTAGTCAAGCAGAGCAAAACCTGCCTCAC